TAAAACACTTTTTCAGAAAGCAGATGAAATCATTCACCGAACTTTTGACCTGTCCCTTGACAGACAACTCATAATGCCCAACATTCCCCCTGCAGCCCTCAACCCTGGCCCCTATTCATGAACCAGACTGTTGAACTGGTCATTGACGAGTCTTATATTGTTACAAAGCTGCCTCACAGCATAAAGTAACAGGAGACCAAGTTCTTTTCCACTATGCTCTACTAAAACTGTTAAATCATAGTTCTACACTAGACGATACATACATAATACAAAATAAATTTCTTCGGTGGTGGGGTGCTAATTTATATATATATATATTTATTTATTTTTATTTTTATTTTTCTTGAGTTGGAGTCTCATTCTGTTGCCCAGGCTGGAGTGCAGTGCCATGCTCACAGCCACCACAGGCTCAACCTACTGGGCCCAGGTGATCCTTCCGCCTCAGCCTTCCAAGTAGCTGGAACCACAGGCATGCACTACCATGCCCACCTAATTTTTTGATTTATTGTAGAGACGAGGTCTCACCAAATTGGTCAGGCTGGTCTTGAACCCCTGGACTCAGGCAATCCTCTTGTCTCCCAAAATGTTGGGATTATAGGAATGAGCCACCACACCTGACCAATTTATACTTCTGATGATGGCCTGTGATAGGATCTTGCACCGAAAAGGTATTCAGTGAATCTGTCCCAATAAAAATAACACTCCCCAATAAACACACCAGGAAAAAAAATCCACTTAATTCTTTTTTTTTTTTTGAGTTGGAGTCTCACTCTGTCACCCAGACTGGAGTGCTCCTGGCCACTGCAGCCTCGACCTGCTGGGCTCCGGCAATCCTTCCGCCTCAGCCTTCCAAGTAGCCGGAACTACAGGCGTGCGCTACCATGCCTGGCTAATTTTTTGATTTATTGTAGAGATGAGGGCTCACCAAGTTGCCCAGGTGGGTCTCGAACCCGCGGGCTCAGGCAATCCACTCACCTCAGCCTCCCAAGGCACGGGATTACAGGCTGAGCCACCGAGCCCAGCCACCTAATTCTTTAAGTAAACAATTTATAGCTACAATAAAAACAAATATTGGCCCAGGCATTATTATTATCTGAGACACAGCCTTATTCTGTCACCCAGGCTGGAATGTGGTAGTACAAACTCACTGCAGTCTCACTGAGCCTCCTGGCTCAGCCTCCCAAGTAGCTAGGACTACTGGTGTGTGCCACCATGCCCAGCTAATGTTTAAAATTATTTTTTGTAAAGACGGGATATCGTTATGTTGCCCAGGCTGGTCTTGAGCTCCTGGTTTCAGGTGATTCTCCCACCTTGGCCTAAGCGATTAGAGGTAGAAGCCACTGTGCCCAGCTCAGACATAATTTTAAAGCTTTAATTTAACAATTTTCTATGTCTAATTCTCCATATATGATAAAATATACAAAACACTGAAAGAGAAAGCTGCATGAAAATAAGTAGACAGAATGTGAAGAAAAAGCCTGCGACATTGACATGGTCTGTCTACCGAGAAGTACATTTATTTTCAGATGAGTGAGTCAGTATTTTTATTGACTTATCCTCATCTCACTTTAATTACAATGTGCAATGGCACTCATAGGGCTTTTAAAAAACTCACAGATGCTATTATGCCTGAGAGAGGCTTTCTTGTCCTATGTTGGGGAGTCAGCTTGTACTTATCAGAACTTCACATACAATTAAGTGTTCCCAGTAGGTAATGCTTTAGTTACAGCTGAAAAGAGTTCCAGGAAACCCCATTAGGAGTTTCACTGTTTACTTTACACGGCTACTGGCAGCTGGTGCATTATGGCCGCAATGCATGCCCCTTTCAGTGTGCAGGACCAACCAGCCTTTCCCCCTTAGACTTGATTTCTCACATTACAAGTCCAATTCTTATTCACTTTTTTTGCAGTATAAATTATACTTAAAAAATTTTTTATTTTAGAGATGTGGGATACAATTCAGGGTATACAAAGAACTGAGTACCGCATGTTTTCACTCATAAGCAGACCCTGAAAAATTATCATAATACTGTCAGAAAGGGTTTGGCAGTAGTGGGAAACTGCAGGGAGGGGACGGGGAGGTCAATATTTCATCAATTAAGTGTTTCTGATCTCAAACCAGGTAGTGTGGGGACCAAAGTGAGGCCCAAACTTTTCCTGTACAATGTCCATTAGTAAAAATTATAAAGCTGCAAAAAAAAATCTCAAAAATAATATTCAAGTACACCATCCCAGCCCGTCCGCTTACCATACTATAAGTATGTCCCATTTTAATCTTACATTGTTGAAAACTAGATATTTCTCTGACTCTCGTTTCCCTACAACCTAATAAAAATGGCCGGGCTGCCAATGACCCACCCAAGCACAGTTAATTCAAGATTTCAACCCCCGTTTCCAGGACTAGAATATTCACAGTACCTGCTGCTTCAAACACTGGAACTTTTTGGTTTCATAGTTTCATCAGAGACCTGCCTTGTTAGAACGTTCCAATTCCGTTTTTTTTTTTTTGAATTCTAATGAAATAAAAAACAACTCTGTTTTTCACTTAAGTGAACAAAATCAATGAAATCATACCAAGTTCCTGCTAGGCAGAGCACAGCTGCAGGGTTGCTACAGCAACTCTTGTATACTGACCATGGACTGCTTGTCCAGGAAAGAACCTTTTGCTCCACCCCTGAGGAGTCAAAGGCTCTGGCAAGCAGGGTCTGTGAGCAGAAAGGAGTGTTTAATTCAGTAGCTGTGACCAAGCAACAAGACATCACTCTCCATTGTCTTCAGCGAGAAATGTCACCTCAATAACCAAACAGACTCCAGACCAGGTCACTGTGTGTGATTATGTATCCCCATGGCAGGACTGTATTTTTTCTCTCTCCCCCTGAAAGAAGCCAAAGCAATCTTTCTCCAGGCACATGGAAAAAAAACCTCATTAAATTAGAACACTCCCATTTTTACTAAGACTATATTTAGGCATTTGCTTTTAGGCTTTAAGCCATGCAAAGTTGTATTCCAAAACAATATATATGTATATATTTTGCCACTCAGACTCAAAAACATTTGTTGAGTTTCCACTAAGTGCCAACTCTTCTGCTGGGTACTCTTACATTTTATTTCATTTACTCCTCACAACAACCCTGTGAGGTAGGTATTAGTATAAACCCCACTTTACAGATGAGAAACTGAGGCTCCCAAAAGTTATTTGACCGGTCTAAGCTACTAAATGGTGGCATCTCCTTGCTGAGTCCTGTGTTGTGTTCTACTACACTAATTTTATAAGAATATTCTCAATTATTAATTAAAATATCTGATGTTCCTAAAATAACTTTAAATTTTTTTATAGTAATTTCTTTTAGCTATACATCTTCACAAAGAATGACCTTACTGGTAAATTAAATATATCCAGCCATTTCCCTAAGTGCATAGAAAACAAAGGCACAGAAATATAGGGCTGCATTATGATCCTGGTGGGCTTTTTTGTTCAGCTTGAACTATGAGGCTCATACTCTTGCGGAGGAAAGGCAAAATGGAAAAATAGGTGGTGATCAGACTGAGTTTCGATGGAACACCTGTGGAATGTCACCAGGGCTGAGGGACTGATGGGGTGAGGGGAGAGAAAGGTGGCAAAGGGGATGCGCTGTTCAACCAGAAGGAGAGAAACCTTGATCTCTGCCACTAGCTGCTTTTAAGAGAATTTCAAGTCCCACTTTGTTTCTTCACTTCCATGTGGGAAAGGTCTTCTAACATGGCATCTCTTCTCACTATTAGAATGCATTACAGCTCACTTTCTGCCCAGAAGGTCTACATTTACCCACTTTTTCCTACATACACTTTTGTGAATTTCCTAGGAAAACAGAAAAGCTGTCTTAAATTGCTTTTCTTAGCTTTCTGAGACCCTGACCTAAAGATTATTTCACACCTATAGCTTGAACATTCCCCCAGCTGTGGTTGTGAAGAATTCATACACAGGTGCTTCTACCTCTGTCCCTTAAAGTCCCCAACTCTTAGTTGTCCCATATTCTAAGCCCCTCCCTTCCAGGAACTTTCCTGTCTGTCTTGATTTCTACTTCAGTTGACAAAGCCAGTTCTCTTGTTACTCCAGAGGATTTGAGTGAGAAATAAGTGAGAACATTCACTAGAGTCCAGAAGTTTCCACAGGTTTCTGGAAAGACAGGTCAACAAGTGTAAGCTTATTAGAAAGCATGCAAACACAAAGAAATCTATTATGGCCATCACTGATTTAAAAAAATAAAAATGTACCAAATTTCCCTGAATTTTTATTGGATGAGGTAATTCAATGCCCAACTTCCTCTACTTTTTTTTTTTTTTGAGTTGGAGTCTCACTCTGTCGCCCAGACTGGAGTGCAGTGGCCGCTCCCGGCCACCACAGCCTCGACCTGCTGGGCTCCGGCGATCCTTCCGACTTAGCCTTCCGAGTAGCTGGAATTACAGGCATGTGCTACCATGCCCGGCTGATTTTTTTGATTTATTGTAGAGATGAGGTCTCGCTGCCCAGGCGGGTCTTGAACCCATGGGCTCAGGCAATCCACTCACCTCAGCCTCCCAAAGGCGCAGGATTACAGGCTGAGCCACTGAGCCCGGCTTCCTATACTTTTAATTTAAAAATACCAGTTCTGTAGGTCCTAGAAATTCAGTCTCAATCTTTACCGAAAAACATGTTCAGTGCAAAAAATAAAAGTCAGCAAAATTTGTAAAGAAGTGAGATAAAATTGATCACTGGTGTTAAAAGAAAACAAACTACATTTGTAAAAGAGAAGGGGAACAGCAGAGGAAAGCTTCTGCAGTGAGTTATTTTCTCCTAAAAATTGAGTATAGGTTCCCATTAGTAACTGTCACATAAAACTTGGGTTAAAGGCTTCTTTACAAAACTGTAGAACTATTAAGCTTTTTCTTTCCAAAAGAGAAAGGCTTTCACAGCTTTAAAACAAAATAAGAAGGAAGCACCAGGAAAGTTAAGAGATCTTTCCATACTCTGTTCACTTAACATTGATTCTTAAGGTTATAAGGCTCCCAGTGAAAAAATGTAATGGTGTTCACATCGCAGACTGAACTCAGTTTTGAATACTGTCAATCTGGACAATTTCTTAAATTTAGCTTAAGATAGCTGCAAAGTGAACAATGCTTCTAAGACATGAAGAGGTGAGGAACTTTAATCAATAATAACAATAGAAACCCGATCATTTATTATCTGGGACTCTTAGAGGTCAATAGGCATTAACTTAAAAATACTACAACTTCATGTTTTAGATGCTGGAAACATAATTCAATATTTCACAAAGCTATGTTAAATTAACGCCACTTTAGACAATTCAAGAACACAATGACAAAGTTCATTTAAGGTGACAATTTTGCTATTGTGTTACTGTTCCCACAGGATATCATCTCTTCTCAATTTCACTTGAAGATTATGAACTCGTGGATGAAAGTTCCTGTTTTTCTGAAAAGGGTTAGTTTCAGTCAGACATTTTCTGGGGCTATTTTTAATGTTCTTTGATCCTTTAGGGTTGCTATCTTCTCGTTGAATACCTGAAGCTTCACTCAGTTCAAAGTTTTGAACTTTTTGCTGCAGTTTACAGACCTGGAGAGAGAAAAATCTAACATTTTAGTCAAAAATATATGCCATAACAGTCAGATTGGATTCATGGTTTCAAGATTGCATTACATTAAAAAGTTCAATTCAGTAAGTTTTTATTTCTTGAACACCCATTACATGCCTAACTCTGTGCTAATCAGGTAGAAATATAATGAATAAAAACAGCCCATGCTTTCAAAGGGCATATTGTTTTTATCAGAAAAGCATATATGTCACAACTAGAGAATACTGCAAGCCAGGATGACTTGGAATAAGGATAAAAAAGTGTATATGTGAGAATGTCAAGTAGGATAAGATCAATACGGTCTGGAGAAGTTGAGGGAAAGTTTGTATGGAAGATGAAACTTGTACAAACTGGAGAATGGAGAGGAGAGAGAAGGACCTTTCAGGTGATATTAAGAGCAAAGTGAAGAACTAGTTCTAGGAATAAGCATGGAGTTTATAGTCTGTATACGTATACTATATATATAGGGGTGGCAAAAAATGTATACACATTTTAAGAGATTTTATCTATGTCTAACTTTTTGAAGTTGAATTGAATTATGGTAGCAATGTGTGACATGACATCCACTCAACTGTGCTTCCACCATTTTCTTTGACTGTCCTGCCTGTCTCATGGTGATGCTAGAGTTCATTTGATTAATGCCATCTTTTGGGTGAATGTCATACTTAAAATGTGTATACATTTTTTGGGCACCATATATATATATAATCTTAAAAGTATTCCTGAATGTAAACTACTACTGAATGTCAGTTAGAAAAAAAAGTCAAGGGAATAACTTTATTTCCTTGAGGAGTATATGTAATAGTGGGGACAGATAGAATTAAACAAAAAAAATTCCCATCCACTGGCCAAAACCTATTTCTTCAAAGTCCAACCCATTACTTAGTCTATTTCACTTATGCATACATCTAATTTGTAGAGCTGGTCGAGAGTTTGGGTGAGTGCCTAGTTCTCTGTTTGGGTAACAGACCATTTTTATTACAGAATTAACTGTATCATGATAAAATGCTTGAACATGCATACTGTTATAGTTTTTATGGGTATAAATCATGCTTTTTAAATCATGCTTTTATAAACATACTATAGTATGTATAGATTGCCTAAGTTTTAAACATATGATTATTCTTCAATTCTTTCTAAATTTCTCCTATGCAATTTCAAGAAAGTGTACAACTTTTATAATCTTCACTCCAAAACAATCATACAAAAATTTTTACTTAAGTATAGCATTAAAAGCCAGTGAAGTGAAAATATGCATTTTAAATGTTTCATTTCTTTCTTTCTTTCCCTAAGAAGAATAAAGGCAATAACGTTCTGCATCTTTTATTACTTTCCTAGAAGAGGCAGAGGCTTATTTGCAAGTTTAGTAAGTCATTAACACAAATGATGATTACATCCATAGACAGCTGGCTACATGGTGTGACCGGAGGGTTCCTGGTGACGGGGTGAAAGGGTTCCTGGAAAGACTCCTGCCCTCTATTAATACTGCTCAAAGTTCAACCTATGGACTCACTGTCGTGGAATCACATATTATATTGCATGATTCTTATATTAAAATATTAAAACTGTGATGCCATTCTTAATCATCAAGACTTCACATACAAGTGCAGAGTTCCCCTCACCACCCTGTCCTACTCACACTACAGCTAGTAAAGGTCCCCAGAAAATAGAACACAGCACAGCTTGTTTTGGGAAAGGCCGCAGTGCTCTAAGGACTAGTACACTACTTGGGAAGGTAGATATATGTCTGGTATTCCATTAGAGACCTGCCCCATAAGGGCATCATCAGGGTATTAGAGGAGAGGAAGACACGAGAAAAGAACACTGAAAGGGGAACTGAAGGACTGCTAAGGCAAATCTAGCCAACCTTACCATTTCCCAAGAGCCATTTCTGAAGACATAGCTAAACTATTTTGCTCATTTAAAAACTATTAGCTTGGAGAGTTATGTAGGAGATCTGTGTTATTCCAGTAGGACAGATGGCTCTATTCAGTCTCTTTTCACTAAATCTTACATATAGACCTCAAATTTAGAATGTCATACAGAGATATAACACTGCATCCAGATATATCATCTTTTTATTAAAACCTTTTACTAAAATCTTCTTACACTGTCTTGATGCTTCTTCAGTTTGGAGATCTGTTCTCCTTTAATTTCCATTTTCTTGACTAAATGCTCTAGTTCACATTCGATGTCGTCACAGACGGAATGACTTTCAGTTCCCTTCATTTGTTCCAGGAGTTCTTGGTACTCCCTATGAAACAACAGTAAATATCAAACACTGTTAGTTTATAGTACACATCTTTATCATAATTATACAATTTTCTGTTTCTTCATAAATTTCAGTCAGAGTTAAACATTAGTCTTCAAAAACAGTCTCTTTCTTTAGGATTGTCTAATTAAATCTATGGTAAACATAACTAGGTTTTTATGATTCAAGATTTAATACATTTAGAAATATCTTAGGCTGTTAAGCAACTTAAAAAAATCTGAATTCTTGATGTTCATAGCTATATGTAGTAAAATGTTCTGATATCTTTAACTGGAGGCATGATAGGGATCTCTTCTTTTTCTTTTTTTTGAGTCACAGTCTCACTCTGTTGCCCAGGCTGGAGTGCAGTGGCATGCTCACGGCCACTGCAACCTTGACCTGCTGGACTTGGGTGATCTCTCCATCTCAGCCTTCCAAGTAGATGGAACTACAGGCGTGTGCCAGCACACCCAGCTAATTTTTTGATTTATTATAGAGACGGGATCTCGCCAAGTTGCCCAGGCTGGTATTGAACCCATGGGCTTAGGCAATCCTCTTGCCCTCGCCTCCCAAAGTGCTGGGATTATAGGCGTGAGTCACCATGCCTGGCTGGCTCTCTTCTTTAAGAACTATGGATGCTTCAAAATTTTTAAGGCAAAGCAGCCAGAGTCTAAAACAAGGAATTAAATTCTGACTTGTCTAATGAAATCACTCATTTAGCTAAAAGATTCTAAAACACCAAAGGAAAGCCTTATAAAAGCTTTTTGTGAGTTGTAATCTAAGGTCACCAGACCTTGTATGTTAGGATGACAGTCATATTTGTCTATCAGTCAGAAATTCCTTGGATTGAAAAAGTGATAATTACACAAAATCAAGATGTTAACTAGTACCTATAAATACAATGAGAAATCAGTGACAATAGATTTGTCCAAATGGCCAAGTAAGGTCTTTAAAAATTTATATGTGGTAGTGTTGCTAGAATCGAGAAGAAAAAATGATGTCTACCCTGCTACTTCCCCTGAATAAAATTAAAATACTCACATATGCATTTGGTCCAACTCATCTTGCATTGCTATCAGAAGTTCAGACAAGTTGTCACAAATGGAAATGGGCTTTCTTGTGTCAGGAGGCCCACGCCACGAAGCTGTGCTGGGAGGCCTGTAGCGACATCGAGGCTTGGCCACTCGAGAAGACTTCTGAAGGGCATGTGGCCCACTGTGCTGCAGCATCTGCAGAAGGCTGTGTATGCTTGCATTCACAGAACAGCTTGCACTGGCAGACTTAGGGGAAAAGAAATGGCAGAGAACAATTTTAAATGACGTATGGTATTAAATAGCACATAAAATAAAGCAGGAGTTTTTCTGAATGACTATTTTCCTATATTTCCTCTCACCTTTTCAGCCACAAAAGGCAGTGCATCCCACTTTGAATAATTTTGCTGAGGTGGTCCTCTCTTTAAACACTTAGTTTTCTAGACATTGATAAGGAAAAAAAGTAAACAAAAAATTATTTTAAAAGACATTTATAAGAACAACTTTCAAAACTCAACAGTAAACCAACAATACAATTTGAAAATGGGCAAAAGACATGAACAAAAATTTCAGTGAAGAAGACACAGAGATGGCAAATAAAATGAAAGTATTCAATATCATTAGCTATCAGGGAGATGCAAGTTAAAATTACAATGAATTCCTACACAACACCAAATATTGGCAAGGATGCAGAAAAACTGGCCTACTAGCATATTGCTGGTGGAACTATAAATTGGAACAGACATTCTGGAAGAGAGTTTGTCAGTTTCTTGTAAAACTAAACTTATCATATAACCCAATTGCTCTCTTGGGTATTTATTCAAGAAAAATGAAAACTTATGTGCATACAAAAACCTGTACAAAACTGTTCATAGCAGCTTATTTGTAATAGCCAAAAACTGGGAACAAGCCAAATATCCCTCCACAGATAAATGACTAAAGTGTGGTACATCCATAACACAGAGTATCTTACAGAAATAAAAAGAATGCCAATGCATGCAACAACTTGGATGGACCCCCCAAGGGAAAAAAAAAAGCCAATCCCAAAAAGTTATATACTGTGTAATTCCATTTCTATAACATTCTTGAGACAACAAAATAGAAAGATAGTGAATAGATCAGAGGTTGCTGGGGGTTGCCGAAAGAGCATGAGAGTTGCATGAAGGAGTGGTAGAACAGTTCTGTATCTTGATGGTTGTGGTGGTTACAAGAATATACACATGTGGTGAAACTACACAAAACTCTCATACTGCTGTCAGTTACCATCTAGAATGACAGCTCTAATCACGACTTCTCAGAAGACTTCAATGGTCCCCCCACTGTTTGTAAAATTAAAGTTCAAACCCTTTACGTGGCATTCAAGGTCAGCCATGATCTCAGCCCAAGCTGTATTTTCAATTTGAACTTTCACTGTGACCTATCTCTCCCCGACTACTGGTCTAGTACCTATAGGTCCCTGGAAAACCCAACACTTTCCTCAGACTGTAGGACATCTCTCCTTATCTCAGTCTGTCAATATTTACTAATTCCCCAATATCCTTTAATACTGCTTCTTTACCCTTCACATATTCCTTTGTCTACACAGCACCCCAAGCCTTTGTTGATACCTCTATAAAGCTTTTATAGGCTTTGTCCTATGTTTGCTTCTCCGCTTCTCATATATTCCTGTCTTATTTGCCTCTTTATCACCTAGTCCTAGAGATATATTAGTCTACATGTGTCAAGATGTTTCTGTTGAATGAACTATGTCCAGGATTTGGAGAAGCTGAGAGAGGAGTAGGTCTCTCACGAGGCTTCTGAAAGCTGTCTTGCCTTCAGCAACATCAGTGCTGCTTCCATCTTTAAAGGGAGACATTATTTGCAGACCCTATGAACTTGGGATTTGAACTAAGTACTTTTATAAAGTGAGTTTCTGTTAATTATGCACTTCTCATGTAAGAACTACTATCTTTCGTTCATTTATTTTACCTTCTCTTTGTACCTTCACAATTTTTACAGTGAACAGATAAACTAAAAAAACTTCCACTAACTCATTGGAGAAAGGATGCCACAAAACATGAATATAAGGCAATATTTGTTCCACATGAAAATTACTTACAGTGATTTTCTACATGGCTTTGTAGCTTTCAATCTCATTGTACAGACAAGGCCCAACACAAATATTTAAGAAAGGAAATAAGCAAAAAAGCCAATATAAAGTTGCACTGGGAAAATATTTTCCATTATTGTAGTATGAAATTTATTTGATTTTACTTTATTTTATATTTCTTTGAGTCAAGGTCTCACTCTGTTGCCCAGGCTGGAGTACAGTGGCACAATCATGGCTCACTGCAGCCTTGACCTCCTGGGTTCAGGATATCCTTCTGCCTCAGCTTCCCAAGTAGCTGTGACTACAGGTGTACAACACCATGCCCAGCCAAGTTTTTGAAGAGATGAGGTCTCACTATGTTTCCCAGGCTGCCCTTGAACTGTCCAGCAGGTACAGTGGTTCATGCCTGTAATCCCAGCACTTTGAGAGACTAAGGCAGAAAGATAATTTGAGGCCAGGAGTTCAAGATTAGCCTGGGCAACATAGCAAGACCCTATCTCCAAATAAAATTAATTAATTAAAAAAAAATTTTCTGTTTTCCCAAAAATCATCGCTTGTCATACATTATCACATGTCTTTTATTTTATATCACTTCAAATCCTTTCTGGAAATAGGTAGGTATAAACATTAAAAGAGTGAATAAATAAGTATTAGTAAAGAAGAAAGCATTGTTTGGGAAAAAGTTTAATATGCATACCTTTGAAGATTTCTTCTTTTCCTTAGAGTTTTTTAGATTTGAAACTGAAGACATTAATATTCTATTGATTTCAAGTCCAGTTTGAAGCTATAAAGTTGAAAAAAAAATGTATACAATTGATTGTAACATGCTTCTTCAAAAACATTATAATGAGAGATTAATTTTCAGTTAGTTTATAAATACAAAAATAGTTTTGGATGATTAAAAAAACCCCAATTCTTTTTGCATGTGTGAAAGTCACAAAGTCTACTGGTAATTACAGTAATTTTCTGCTTATAAAAGAATAACTTATTTAATATTTATATAACAATCAAACTGAAAAAAATCTATCTTAAGAGTTCTTTCAGCCGGGCATGGTGGCTCATGCCTGTAATCCCAGCACTTTGGGAGGCTGAGGCAGCAAGATTACCCAAGTCCGGGAGTTCAAGGCCAGCCTAAGCAACTTGGTGAGACCTCCTCTCCACAATAAATCAAAAAGGTTAGCCAGGCATGGTGACGCATGCCTGTAGTTCCAGCTACTTGGAAGACTGAGCAGAAGGATCGCCTGAGCTCAGCAGATGGAGGCTGCATTGGTTGTGTCACTGCACTCCAGCCTGGGTGACAGAATGAGACTCCGACTCAAAAAACAATACCAAACAAGAGTTCTTTCAACTGAGAATACATGTATTTGTCAGAATTTCAAAAGACTAAAAGACCCCTTGGCAATATGTCTAATTATATGCAAATAGTGGCTGACTGACAATTTCATTATAGCAAAAAGAAACAAAGCTAACCATCTAAGGAAGTCGAAATTAATATTTAGAACATAGGTTTCAGGTAAAGAAAATGAAGTATATTAAAAGATACATGGTTTACTGTGATAAGTTATATCATGCTCTATTTACCTCAGAAGCTTTGTCTTGAAATAGCTTACGCTGATGTTCTTCTTCCTTAAGTTTTTCCTCTAAATGTTTAATCTTGTCCTGAAAGAGAATAAAAAACTGGAGTCATATAAAAACTAGAGCCAAATATCCTTTGTTCCTTTTCCAAATAGAGTACTAGGGTTTTTAAGAGCTTAGAAAGGAAAAAAACAAACAGCCCTATTAAAAACATGGGCAGAGGACATGAATAGACACTTCTCAAAAGAAGACATACGAGTAGACAACAGTTACGTGAAAAAATGCTCAGCCTCACAAACCAACAGAGAAATGAAAATCAAAATCACACTGAGATACCACTTTATCGAAGTAAGGATGGCCATCATTAATAAATGAAAAAAAAACAACCAATAGATGCTGACACAGGTGTGGAGCAAAGGGGACACTTCTACACTGTTGGTAAAAGTGTAAACTAGTCCAACCTCTATGGAAAATAGTGTGGCAACTTCTAAGGAACTAGAAACTGACTTTCTATACGATCCAGCAATCCTCCTCCTGGGAATTTACCTGGTAGAACCCAAATCATTCTACAAAAAAGACACCTGCACACACATTTATTGCCACACTATTCACAATAGCAAAAACATGGAACCTGCCTATCGAAAGTGGCTTGATAAAGGAAATGTCATACATATACATGATGGAATATCACACAGCCATAAAGAAGGAAAAAATGGACTCCACAGCAAACTGGATGAAGTTGGAGACCAACATACTAAGTGGACTATCACAGATAGAACATGAATACCACATGTTGTCATTCATAAATGGGCCCTGAATATTAGCATAAGGGAGGGATAGGCATTTGCTGGGTAATGTTAGAGGAGGGAGGAAGGAATGAGGAGGCACATAACAACACAAAGGTGCCTGGTCCTATACCAGGGGGAGTGAGGGCCAGTTGGAGGCCCAAACTTCACCCGCATGCAGCCTACTTGTGTAGTTAATCCTTACTTGTACCCCACATCTCTATTTAAAATATATATGTGTGTGTCTGTCTGTCTATCTATCTATCTATCTATTTATATATATAAAATATGGTCCTTGTACTTAAGAACTTATACAGGTTGAATATTCCATTTCTAAAATGCTTGCAACCACAAGTATTGTGGATTTTGGAATATTTTCATTACTGATTCAGTACCCCAACCCCATATTCAAAATCCAAAATGCTCCAATGAACATTTTCTCTGACCATCACATCAGTATTCAAAAAGTTTCAAATTTTAGAGCATTTCAGATTTTAGATTTTCGGGTTAGGAATATCCAACTTGTAGTGTGCATAGAGAAACAAGAGTAATATTCATGAAACAATAAAACAACAAAGTCATAAATATTATTTGACATGGACCATGTAGACACACATATAACCATATACATGTAAGTTAAATAGTACATCTTATATCTGTGGTGTGGTTCAGTAAAGGAGGATAGTACTATTTCAAAGGGAGGACTTGAGTGTTGGAGAGTTCAAGGAAGGCTTCCTGGAGGAAGGAGGACTTTGAGAAAATCCTATAACATAGAAAGGATTTGGGTAGAAAAAGGAGGAAGGGGGATCTGGGATAGGCTTAATTTGACTGCAAGTAGTAAAAGACAATCTTTTCAATGTTCTTTGGATAAATTATCTGACAAATTAAAATGTCCAGTCATATTGGAAGAAATCAAGATTATAATTTCACATGAAAAGACAAGCTCATTCATGCTATACCAGAACACATTAACCTTTCATCTCTATAGGTAGGAATTCATATCTTGATTACTAAAAGTTGTAATAAATGAAGCTTTATAAATCTAAGATTTATTGTATATTCACATACAATACTAACTATACTTAACACTAAAGATTTATTCCTGGCATCATCACTTCAGAGAAACAAATAGAAGCTTACCTCAGCAGTTTTCTGAGTTGTTGTAAGTCTAAAACACTCTTTTTCTAAGACATCAAGCTTTTCAAGCTTTGCATGCAGCTTCATCTGATCCTGTTCTTTTTCCCTTTGAAGCTGGGCCTACAAAAGATAAAAACAAAACCTCAATTTGGCAAGTGCTACCAATGGATCAATGATATTAAAATTTCTGAGAATTCAAAACATCATATATATGTCACAAGAAACATTTACATACATGCACATACTTTAGGATGCTTACAAACAAAAAACCAGAAAATCAAATACTTATTTTAAGGAGCGAATCCAATGTGCAAAAAAGATGTGTTATATTAGCCTCAACGGAACAAACTCTTCTGTGCATCTTTATATAACAGTTCTACTAAGGAAAGCATCATTAACAAAACCTATACTAAATAAAAAGTGTTATTTACAAGGTGACCTGACCTACCCATTGACTTATCCTCTCTCTAACTCTAACACAGAAAAATAGCTATCAGCTGGGTGCAGTGGCTTGCACCTGTAATCCCAGCACTCTGGGAGGCAAGAGGACTGCCAGAGTCTAGTGGTTTGAGGCCAGCCTAGGCAACTTGGTGAGATCTCATCTCTATAATAAATTAAAAAAATTAGCCGGGCGTGGTGGTGCACGCCTGTGGTTCCAGCTACCTGGAAGGCCGAGGCAGAAGGATCACCTGAACCCAGTAGTTCGAGGTTGTGGTGGCCGTAAGCATGCCACTGCACTCCAGGCTGGGCAACAGAGTGAGTCTCCGACTCAAAAAAAAAAAAAAGAAAAACAGCTATCAGAGGAGTAAAGCATCAAGAGAACATGGAGAAACGGAAAGTTATACATATACATAAGCACATCTGCATGCAGTTTGGTAAAGGTACTTATCAATACCACAATAATGCACGATATTAATAACAGGGGCAAGAACTCTCTGTACTATCTGCTGAACTTTCTATAAACATAAATGGCTCTAAAAGTTGAAGTCTATTAATTAAAGCAAAACACCAACAAACAGAGTCTTGGTGGCCTGTGATTTAATATTTGATTGGAGTTCCAGAAGGAGAGGAGAGGGAGAAGGGACAGAATAATCATTTGAAAGATAATGGCTTAAAATTATTACAAATTTAATATAAAATACTAACAGATTCAAGAATCTCAAAAAATTCAAGCAGAATAAATATAAGACCACACTTAGGAATATCATTATCAAATTGCTGAAAACCAGTAATAAAGAAAAAATCTTAAAAGCAGCCTGAGAAGTGATGACACATTATATACAGAAAATAAAAATAAGAATTCTTATTAGAAACTATGAAATCCAGAAAACAACTGAAACAAAATTTTTAATGTGCTGAAAGAAAAAAGCTGTCAATTAAAATTCTATATTCAGTGAAAATATCTTTCACAAATGACTCTGAAATAGACTTTTCCAGATAAATAAATGCTAAGAGAATTCTTTTCAGGCTGAAATAAATGATTAGATGAAAAATCAAATCTACACAAAAAATGAAAAGCACTGGAAAGGGTAAACTGTGAATAAATATGTACACTTCCTTGTTTCTAAATCTTATTTCAAGGATAGTTGACCATTTAAAACAAAAATAAGCCAGGCTTGGTGGCTCAGCCTGTAATCCCGTGCCTTGGGAGGCTGAGGTAAGTGGATTGCCTGAGCCCACGGGTTCGAGACCTGCAACTTGGTGAGACTTCATCTCTACAATAAATCAAAAAAATTAGCCGGGTATGGTAGCGCATGCCTGTAGTTCCAGCTACTTGGAAGGCTGAGGCGGAAGGATCGCTGGAGCCCAGCAGGTCGAGGCTGTGGTGGCTGGGAGCACCCACTGCACTCCAGTCTGGGCGACAGAGTGAGACTCCAACTCAAAAAAATAAAAATTAAAATAAAAAAATAAAATAAACCAAAAATAATACTGGGCCAGGAATGGAGGCTCACACTTATAATTCCAACACTTTGGGAGACTGAGGCAGGAAGACAGCTTAAGGCCAGAAGTTTGAGCCCAACCTGGGCAATATGAGACCTTGTCACTACAAGACATTCAAAAATTAGCTGACGTGGTGATGCACACCTGTAGTCCTAGATACTCAGAAGGCTGAGGAAAGAGGATCACTTGGGCCCAGAAAGTTGAGCCTGCAGTGAGTCATGACTGCACCACCGCCCTCCAGTCTGGGAGACAGAGCAAGACCTTTTCTCCAATAATAAATAATAAGAAGAATAAAATTTTATGGCTGGGTAATATACCATCTCACAGCAACTTGGATGATCTTAGAGTCTATAATACTTGGTGATGTATCACAGAAACAAAGAATTGAGTACCATATGTTCTCACACAGAAGTGAACCCTGAACAATTATCATAATACTATAAGAAAGGGATTGGCAGGAGTGGGAAACTGCCGGGGGCTGGGGGAGGAGGCCCTTCATCAGTAAGGGTAGCTGATCTCAAACCAGGTGAAGTGCGGACCAAAGTGAGGCCCAAACTTTAGCTGTACAATGACCCCATTTGTATACCTAACCCTGAATTGTATCCTACACCTTTAAAATAAAAATAACAAAAAAGAATAATAAAACTGTGGATTTTATAACATATGTAGAAGTAAAATGAATAAAAACTATAGCACAAAGAAGGATAAGCAGAAGCATACTGTAGTAAGGCGTTTACATTACATGTAAAATATTTTAATACCAATTTCATGGCACACTGTGGTGAGTTAAGAGTACATATTCTACACCCTAGAGCATAAGGAAGAGGAGAAGGAAAAGGAGGACCAGGAAGAAAAGGAGAATACAATAGGATTTTAAAAGAAATCACCAGAGAAGTTAGAAAATATTTTGAACTGAATGATAATAAAAATACAAAAAAATCCAAATCTGTGGGATGCAGGAAAAGCAACATTTAGAGGAAAACTGATAGCCTGAACTACAAAATGTAGTATTAAAAAGGAAAGAATAAAAGGCTTATAATCAATAAACTAAGAGTCCAACAAAGAAAACTAGGGGTAAAACAGAGCAAAGTAAGCCTTATGTAAGCAGAAAAAAGAAAATAATAAAAGCGGAATCAGTGAAATAAAAAATGAACAAAACACTTAAAAAAATGAAAAACAAAAGTTGTTTCTATTTTAAAAAATTGATAAGTTATAAAGTTATAGGTAGACTCATACTTTTTTAAAAAGCAAAACCAAAAATTAACAATATCAGGAATGAAAGAAGGGACATCACTAAAAATACAAGAAAAATCAGAAAATCCAAGTAGTCCTATATCTGTTAAATAAATTGAATTCATAATTTAAAAATCTTCCACAAAGAAAACTTCAATCCCAGATGGTTTGCATTAAATGCTGAATTCTATCAAATGCTGAAAGGAAAAATAATACTAATCTTACACAAGGATTTTTAGAAAGTAGAAGGAATCTTCCCAACTAATTATATGAGGTCAGAAAAACCATGACACCAAAACCAGACATTATCAGAAAATCACACAAGATCCCTCTTGTTACAAAAACACTTCAGTAAAATATCAGCAAATTAAATCAAGTCATGCAGGAAAAGAATAATACATTAAGATTAATTGGTGATCTTCTACACTAAGAATGTAAAGTTGGTTAACATTTGAAAATCAATCAATGTAATTGATCATGTTAAGAGAAAAAAGGAAAAATCATAGGAACCTCTCAATAAATGCAGAAAAAGCAACAGACAAGTTGCTTTCTCAACAAATTTAGAAGGTAATTTCCACAACTTGATAAAGGGCAGCTATGAAAAAAACCTATGGCTAATATTATACTTAATAGTGAAAGACTGATAGCTTTACCCCAAAGATCAGGAACAAAGCAAGGATGTCAGTTCTTACCACTTCTAGTAAACATTAGCTGTAGTAGCCAGTGCAGTAAAGTGAGAAAAAGAAATAAGAGCTGTAAAGATTGGGGAAAAAAGAATAAAACTGTTATTATTCATGAATAACATAACTGTATAGGTAAAACATTCTGTAAATATGAAAACTACTAAAATGAATAAATAAATGTAGCAAGGCCCCAAGATATAAAGTCACATGAAAATCAACTATATTTTGTATACCAGTAGCAGACAAAAAATAAAAAATCCAACCCTATTCACAATAACATAAAAAAAAATAAAATGTTTGGAGCTAAATTTGACAAAATGTGCAAGACCTCTCATTAAAAACTACAGACCATTGTGAAGAGAAACTAAAGATGACAAATAAAGGGAGAGATATACCATGTTAATGGATTGAGATCAAAATTTTTGAGATGTCAATTTTTCTCTCTGTAATCTACAGATTTAACAAAATTTCAATTAAAATTCCAGCAAAACTGGGTATAGTAGCTCATGCCTAGAATCCCAGCACTTTGGAAAGTGGAGGTGAGAGGGGTTCAAGATCAGCCCGGGCAACTTGGTGAGACATCTACCAAATCAAAAAAGTAGCTGGGGATGGTGGCATATGCTTGTAGTTCCAGCTACTTGGAAAGCTAAGACAGAAGGATTGCCTTAGCCCAGCAGATCAAGGCTGCAGTAGCCATGAGCATGTCACTGCACTCCAGTCTGGGCAACACAGTGAGACCCCAACTCAAAAAAAAGAAAAAAAAAATTCCAGCAGACTTATTTGTAGAAATTGCCATGCTGTTTATAAAAATTCTATAGAAGTGCAATAATCTTTAAGAGGAACAGTGGAAAGATGTTACTTGATTTCAGGACTTATTATAAGGTCACATGGTGTTGGTATAAGATTAAGCTAACATATAATATAGAATCCCAGAAATAGACCCTACTTATACAGTCAATTGATGACTAACAAAGACGTCAAAACATTTCAGTGGGAAAAAGGAAAAGTCTTTTAAGCAATTGGTGGTGAAACAACTGAACATTCACATGAAAAAAAATTTAACTTTGAACACATTCTCTCAGCACACAAAAATTAATTCCAGATGGATCACAGCCATAAATAAAAAATAAAAAATAAAAGCTTCTATAAGGAAATAATTTAGAAAACAGGTTAGTAGTTTCTTATAAAGTTAAATGTATACCTATGCTACACTATGGCTCAGCAATTCTATTCCTAGATATTTATTCAAGGGAAATTAAAATAACCAAAAAGATTTGTGTAAGAATGTTCACAGCAGCTTTATCCACAATACTAGAAACAAGCCAAATGTCCATCAACAAGAAAATGGATAACATAAAATGTGGTACATCTATATAAAGAAATTTTTCTATACAGCAATAAAAAGGAATGAACTGCTGACATAGACAACATGGTTGAATCTCAAAAACTTAATGCTGAGCAAAAGAAGCAGACACAAAAATACATATTCTCTACGATCCAATTTATATGATATTCTAGAACACGCAAAATTAAGGTAAAATTAATCAGAACACTAGTTGTCTTATTAGGGAAAAGGCAGCAAATAACTTGAAAGAGTCATGAGAGGTATAGGATAATGGAAATGTTCTCTTATTTGATGGGGTGTATATTACAAAGGGAATATGGATTTACACACAGTGAAATGCACAGATCTTAAGTGTACAGAGCATACCTCAAAATTTTTTTTAAAAACTGTTAAAAGTCACTAATTTACAATATTTAACTAGAAAAGGAATTTTTAGGTAATTTGAAATGTGAATGTTGAACTTTAAGAGATAAAGTAGTAGCTTTTCTAGTTGTATCTTTACACCTAGAATTGTAAGGTTTACATTTTTTTCCAATTTGGTAGATGCCAGGTAGTATCTTGTTGTGCTTTTATTTTGCATTTCCCTGATTACTAATGAGATTGATCATATTTTCTATAAATGTATGGCCATTTGTAATTTCTGTTATCCTGCAATGTGCCACTTCATAACTTTTGCCCATTTTTCTTTGGTTTTGTTACTTTTTAGGTCTTGTTTAAGAAATTCCTCTCCAAAAAGGTAATGAAAAATTTTTTTTCCCCCAAGTTGGCGTCTCACTTTGTCACCCAGGCTGGAGTGCAGTGGCACACTCACGGCCACCACAGCCTCAACCTGCTGGGCTCACATAATCCATCCACCTCAGTCTTTCAAGTAGCTAGAACTACAGGCACATGCCACCACGCCTGGCTAATTTTTGTGATTTGCTGTAGAGATGAGGTCTTGCCAAGTTGTCGGCTGGTCTCGAACCCGCAGACTCAGGCAATCCACTCACCTCGGCCTCCCAAAGTGCTGGGATTATAGGTTGAGCCACTGAGCCTGGCCAGGTAATGAAGATATTATTCTACACTTGCTTCTGAAAGTTTCAAAGTTTTGCCTTTTATATTTAAAGCCTTTAATCCATCTGGAGTTGATTTTTGTGTATAGTGTGAGGTAAAGATTCAATTTCATTTTTTTCTCACATAGACAATCAATTTTCCCAGAACCATTTATTGGACAGTCTACCTTTTATTCAATGGTCTGCAATAGAATCTCTGTCCTATACTGAGTGTCCATGACTGAGTTAACTTCTGACTATATTTTATTCCTTTATTCTAGTTCTCTATCCAAACGAATACCATATTACCTCAATTTTGATAGCATTATAACTTGATTCAATATCTAGTAGAGAATGACCCTCATCTTACTCTTCTTCAGAATAGTTTGGTTGTTCTTGGACCTTGCTTTTCCACATACATTTTAGAATCAATCTCTCTACCTGTTACATACTTGCCCCAACAAAATCCAGTATTGACTGGTATTTCACTCTTTCCCAAGACAATGCAAGGATGTTAGAACACTTTAAATTACATTTACTCCTTCCCAACTTACAAGCTATTGTTCTGATGAATTTTAGTCCTTTGTATATCTTTAAACCACATAAAGCATTATTATTGTTGGTTTATATCATCTTTTTTGCTCTTTATTTCTTCCTGCATCTCTGACCTTCCTCCAAAGATCATTTTCCTTCTGTGTGACCAATGTCCTTTAGGGTTCCCTTTGGAGTGGACCTACCAGTAAAAAATCATCTCAGTCTTTTTTATCCCTAAGATGTCTTTATTTCACCTTTATTTCTGAAGAAAATTTTCCCCATAGATCATTCCAGATCAGAAGTTATTTTCTTTCAATACCTTAATTCTATCAGTGCTTTGTCTTTGGATTTAGCACTTTCAGTTGAGAAGTCAACTATCATTTTCATTTGTTGCCCCTTTCAATGTAATCTTTTTCTAGCTACTTTTAAGATTTTTTGTTTTAGTCTTAATTTTATGATGAAGTATCTATGTATAGCCTTCCTTATATTTATCCTGCTTTGGTTTTATAGGGCTTCTTAAATCTGTGGTATAATTTTACTTTTTAAATCAATTTTAGAGAATTCTCAGCTTTATCTTGTGCAATATTGCTTCTGCCCATTATCCTTCTCCTTTCCTTTTGAAACTCCAATTATACCTAAGTTAGACCTGCTCACTCTAACAGTATGCCTCTTTCTCTGTTTTCTGAATTTACCATCATCTTGTCACTTCAATGATCTGTACAGTTTCTCCTTCTAGTTCTAATTCTTTCTTCTAATGAGCTGTTAGATCCAGCCATTTAGTTCTAAATTTCAGTTGCTGTATTTTTTTCAGTTCTATAGTTCTATAATTTTTATTTGGTTCTTTCTCAAATATGCTTTGTCATTTTATGGTTTCCAATGCAGTACCAAAAATTTCAATCTCGTCTTTATCTTCTTGCTTATAGGAAGCATAATCAAGTAATAAATAAGGGAAATTAAAACATACAAAATGATTTGTACAAGAATGTTCACAGCAGCTTTATTAGCATCTGTTAGGGCTTTTACCTAGTTGGAGCTAATGTGTGAGAATGTCTACATAGTTCTATTATGTATACTTCTTGTTAATAGTGTTTTATCTTTTTTGGCCTAGTTATTTTGATTAAAAGTTGCTCACTAGGCTGGGCGTGGTGGCTCAGCCTGTAATCCTAGTACTTTGGGATGCCGAAGCGAGAGGATTTGCCTGAGCCTGGGAGTTCAAGACCAGCCTGGGCAACTTGGTGAGACCTCATCTCTACAATAAGTCACAAAAACTAGCCGGGCGTAGTGGCATGTGTCTGTAGTTCCAGCTACTTGGAGGGCTGAGGTGGAAGGATCACCTGTGATCACCTGTGAGCGTGCTACTGCGCTCCAGCCTGGGCAAGAGTGAGACACCAAACTCAAAAAAAAAAAAAAAGTTGCTCACTGTGTTTAAAATGTTTGTAGAAATAATTTAAAGACCATGGAAACATTAGTAATACAGTGTTACTTTAATCTAATTTCAGGGGCTTAGGTTTCTCTAGGCTACCTTGATAACCTGGAGAAAGGCTGTAAGTCTAGGTTGTGTTTCTTCTTGTGCACTCTAACAAAGTACTCAGACACAAGAAATTTACTAGTCTTCTTACTTTGATAGGCCCTAGGCTCTAATTTTAATTTCCTTAGCCCCAGAAGGATGGCTGTCAAAGGCATTATTTAGCCTCTCAGGAATCAGAAATGTTCTCAGAAGGAAGGAACATAAAATGTCAGGACAAACTCTCTAGACTTTAAGTTGGCACACAGAAAATTGGTGACTTTTCAACACCTTATTAGTTACTCTAATGCCTTTGTGATTTTTTCTTTTCTTTTTTTTTAATACTCTGTGCAGTTATTCTCTGCAGAAGGGTTGGTCCAAATGACCTAGTTTGTTATTCCTGTAAGCGGAAATCTACTACAGACAGCTTTATATCCTACTTTAATTAAGACTCCAATATAACAATTTCCCCATATTAAATATTCTTCAAAAACATATTAAGTCATCTAATCACTCCTTATAGAAAATATGCTCACCTGCTGTTCTAGAATCATATTCTTTTCTCGCTCCACATTGAGAACCATTCTTTTTGTATATTCTAGTTGCTTCTCTAGAAGAGTACAACGAGACTGGGCTGAGCTTAACTGTATACTTATATCTATAAAAAAGACAATAACAATGAGTTAATTCATTGATTATCACACAGAGCAGAGATCTGGTTATCACGAGAAATGTATTCTGTAAATTCAATCAAGTGCTAAAAGTTCAAGGTCTCTTTTGGCTCTAAGTATTGACTCTCCCAGAGTTATGAACATAAGTTGTGTGACTGTCTCATTAATTGTATATAGCTGTCTCTCCCTAAAAATCTAGATGGCGTACTTCGGAAAGGGGAGAAAGTCAGTGATATGTGGAATGATAAGTACCCTGGTTGTTTCTGAGAAACAACAACATCTGGAAAAACAGAAAGCAAAGTTTCTTACCTATCAGTATATTTCTTCTCTTTCAGGAAACTCAGGGACATGCATTCTACCACTTCCATTTTATCTGTTCTTGACTACTGGCAACACAATTAATGCCATAGGGGTAAGCAACCTATTTCAAAGCCTTTAACTTTCTACTTTCCGCAGCTCTTTCTTCTACTTTTGTTCAGTTACCTCAGAAATCCTTCCCCCCCCTCCACTTCTTCATTCTATTTGTAAGTTGAAACACAAACTTAAACCCTATTTATAAGGGTGAGTACAGTGCTACAAAGAAAAAGAAAGCCATAAGTTTTGAAGTAAAATTACATAAGGACTTATGTTTTAAATTTCTGAAACTCAGCTAGGTGTGGTGGTTCATGTCTGTAATCCCAGAACTTTGGGAGGCGAAGATGAGACGACTGCCTGAGTCCAGGAGTTTGAGACCAGCCTGGGCAACATGGTGAGATCTCATCTCTATAATAAATAAAAAAAATTAGCTGGGCATGGTGGCATGCACCTGTGGTTCCAGCCACTTGGATGGCTAAAGGAAGGATTGCCTGAGCCCAGTAGGTTGAGACTGCAGTGGCCATGAGTGTGCCACTGCACTCCAGCCTGGGTGACTGTGAGACTCCATCTCAAAAGAATAAAAAAAAATCTGAAACTCTTGTGTCTTGATATTCTTTCCATAATTCCCTCAGAAACTTCCACCTATCTGCCTATTTTCTTTAATTAATCTTGTTTTCCTCTCATGTTAAATAAAATTCTTATTCATTTTTACTGTTTTTGTATTGTTTAATTACTTGTGTTGCTTTATATTTCAATATGTAAAATTTAGTGTTAACTGAAAATATAAAGCATTTTGATTATATAAACTTGATTTTGTTGGTTATTCTGAAAAATACTCTAATTTCTAAATAGAATTTGTTTAAAAATGTAATTTTCCTTTTAATTCCCAGAATTTATGAACTGATATAACCACTAAATACAACAGAGGTAAGTTCAGAGCTACATCCTTTCCCACAAATATTGTAATGTCTGAGAACAAGGCCACAATGTTGGAATGTATATTAGAAAAAAGATACTTGAGTAAATCTGCTTAGACTGGGTTTATTATTTTCCAATTGTAAACTTTGGTAACCCCTTGTTTCTGAGAACTGTTGCATTTCTTACCTTTTTTCTGCTTTATCAGTTCCTGGTGTGCCAGATTTCTCTCATTTGTTTCATTCTCCAAGGCCTTTTTGTATTGGGCCGCTTCTCTGGAAAGAATGTTCAGGTTATCTTCAGCTTGTGTTCTCTCTAGCTCTAAACGATGAATCTTTTCCTGAAGAGTTTTTAAGGCTAAAATAAGAGCTGTTGAAAGAGAAACTAGTTGATGTTTTCAGCAAAAGTTTCTAAAAACTTTCAATCATAGTAATGTTAAAAAATGAGCGGACTTTTGTTAGTAAGCCAGAAAAATATATAAGTAATGTGTATTCATCACGAAAATGTAAAATAATGACTAACACTCTAAAGAGGAACAAATTTTCTCTAACAAATCTTATAAAAACAATATATTGGCCAGGCTTGGTGGCTCAGCCTGTAATCCCAGCTCTTTGGGAGGTCGAGGCAAGTGGATTGCCTGAGCCCGCGAGTTCGAGACCGGCCTGGGCAACTTGGCAAGACCTCTTCTACACAGTAAATCAAAAATTAACTGGGCGTGGTAGCACACGCCTATAGTTCCGGCTACTTGGAAGGCTGAGGCAGAAGGATCACCAGTGCCCAGCAGGTTGATGCTGGGATGGCCGTGAGCAAGCCACTGTACTCCAGTCTGGGCAATGGAGTGAGACTCTTAAGAAAAAAAAAAAAAAAATCTATGGTTGTATATAGTGATTTCTAGTATTGAGAAAGCTAATAATCACAATTTAATAAAATAAATATTTTCAAATGAAAAGACTTAAAGAAGATAATGTACACTCTGAGGCATAAGAGCCTGAGTATGAATAGAGAAAATTAAAATACAGTATCTACTACTTAACATGGTAATTTAGGTTTAAAGCTAAAGATTCTTCTCAGTTATTGACGTGTTACTCTAACAATAAACATTTACTGTTTAACTTTGTCCAAGATGTTGCATTAAGAATCAGGACATATGAGGTAGAACAGTTTCTTTCACTGGAAAAAAATGATAGCCTAATAGTTTACCTGGTGGCAGGCTTGAAATATTATCAATAATACACATGTACTACTGTGATTTTTATTAGAGTATGTTAATACCACCAACATTCAGGTAAGTTCAGAGTTTTAACTTGCATACAGTTTATATCAAATTAGAGAGATGTTTGCGAGAAATTATCATTTGGTTTTTACAAATGAGATAAAGAAATTATATTTATTACTCTTTATATGGTTCTTGTAGCTGGCTCATTAATTTGGATATTATTTCTTATGCCACAAAGCTAGTTTATTTACATGGCAACCATTATTACAGAATATTGAAAATCAAGGTGATAATCAGTATTTCAGATAGCAATTTGTATGGCATGTCTGGAATCATGAATATTTTCCCAATTCACTTTTAAGATCTTCCTAAGCTTATATTTTAAAAGCTACCATACTAGCCTTTTGTAGTGACTCTGATATATGGCTTCCTAAAGAAATTTCAGAGAAAATCTTAGATATATGCAATTTCTGAATCTAATCCTTGAATACGACACAATTCCACTTAATTCACTAGCATTCTGATCATCTAGTTTAAGATTCCAAATCTAACCTTTTATTATTAAAAGAGTATTTTTCTGTTTTCTAATGATTTTTTTAATGATAAACCTGTGATATGTGTCCAGCTGGTTATATTAATCTTCATTTTATGGCTGAAGGAGCCAAATCAACAAATGTTAAGTAAGTTTGCTACGTGCACAGGTACTCTTATCAACAGAATCAAAATCAGCAGCTTTATTAAGATTAAATATACAATCATATCGTTTTCTACATAAAAATGAAAAGTCTTCAATAGTATACTTTGTACCATTCCTCTAATTTTATATGATATTTACCGTGGTTATTTGGGCTATGAATCATTTTAGGAGCGGTAACTTCTAAGTTCACAGGGTGGTGACTCTGAGATGTTTCATTCTGGGTGACTGATGGAACAAACACTCTTTCTGGAGGTTTAAGATAGCTTCCTACTACACTGTGCATTAATTCAGAATCCATTACCTGTAGGAAACAAAGTAATGATATAGCATGGCATCTTTCCTATTTGAAAGAAATACGAAAATTCAGGTAAAACTTTAACCTAAATAACCCTAAACTATGGAGTTGTATCTTTGTGAACTTAATTACAAATTGAACTATAATAAGCTCAGCATTAAAAGAAAAATGACTATTTTTAATCTTTTAAAAATTATTTTAGTTTTGGGGGGGTAAAAAATGACTACTGTGCGAATAGTATGGACACTTCTGGTTGATTTTCAATAATCATTTACTCTGGATTAAGCATGACATGAGTGAGGTGAATTCATTGGTTTCTCAGTTGCTTATAAGTTGCATGTATCTACTACAGTCTGAGCATCTCTTGATAAACACTGTGACTCTAGAGCTCAAAGAAAAATGCATATTCTAAAAGACAATAGAGTTTGTAAACAGCCAATAATATAATCAGATTTTCTAACAGTGACTATTGTACTTCAATATACTGACTTCCTAAGGGATTTTCAAAGATAATTTTAGATATATAAAACTTCTGAATAAGACACATCTCTGCTTAATGCACTAGCATTTTAATCATCTATTTAATCACCTAGTTTAGGAAGGCTTCAAATCTGAAGACAGTAGTCTTACTTTATTAGTCTGTTTTGCTTTTGTTTGTAGGAGAACACTTTTAACCATTTTAGCATTTTTAACCATTTTAGTAAATTTTTTGTTTAATTTTTCCAAGTCATTTTCTTTTCCTTTCTGCAATGAAAATATTTTAGAAATGTATTCTGCTAGTCGGACTCGGTGGCTCAGCCTGTAATTCCGCGCTTTGGGAGGCTGAGGTGAGTGGATTGCCTAAGCCGGCAGGTTCGAGAACCACATGGGCAACTTGGCAAGACCTCATCTCTACAATAAATAAATAAATAAATCAGCCGGGCATGGTAGCGTGTGCCTGTAATTCTGGCTACACAGAAGGCTGAGGCGGAAGGATCACTGGAGCACAGTGGGTCGAGGCTGCAGTGGCCGGGAGCAGCCATTGCACTCCAGTCTGGGTGACAGAGTGTGACTCCAACTCAAAAAAAAAAAAAAAAATAGTGAGAAATGTATTCTGCTTAATATAATCTAATCAATGTTAACTAAATTAACTCCTAATCAGACTGGAAGAAATAAGGTAATAACAGTTCACAAAGACAAAAAACAAACAGAAAAAAAAACTTAACTGGCACAATTTTAAGAAGTGTGCTTTAAAATGTAAATCCAATAACTATATTATAAAATTAGCCTATTTTGATTTTTTAGAATGCCACATTTTCTGTGACTTCAGTAACTTCCCAATTCACAAGGCAAAGGCAGACACTCCGAACCATGATTTTCTGGAAGGGCAGAGGACCCACTTCACTTCTGAGGATTTTCTACTTTAGCCATTGTCCTGATTTGTTATCTTCCGGGACATTCTGACTGGTCTAAATTAGAGGTTATACAGCCTAAATTAGAGGTTATACAGCCTAAGAAGGTCTAAAATACTTGATGCTTTTTTTTTCCTTAGAAGTCACCATATTTTGCTATTCTTACTAGCACTAGCTACCTTGGACCTGTCTGCTTCCCATGGGACATGACATCTAAGCTGCTGTGCCCTCAAAAAACAAGAGTTCAAAATTAATCACAACTGGCTCACTATGAAGTGGAGGTAGGACCCTAAAGTACATAAGTTCTAAAGATGGTTGTAGATTTTCAGAGAGGTGGATAGCTGAAGTCCCAGAAACACTGGAGATACTGAAGATATCTGACTTAGTTTTCAACTCCTGGTCGGTTTCACCAATAATGGAAATAATTAAATTTTGCCATTAGTCAGTAAACACTGAAATCTATGGGGGGGAGACTGCTTCCTCTGACCCAAATATATTATTATTTTACAAACTAGATTTTGTGTTAATTAAAAAACAGGGTCAAGGCTGGATGCTGTGGCTCATGCCTGTCATCCTAGCACTTTGGGAGGTCAAGGAGGGAAGATCACTGGATCCCAGGAGTTTGAGACAAGTCTGGGCAACATTGTGAGATCCTGTCTCTATAAAAAAATAAAAAATTAGCTGGACATGGTGGCATGCACTTGTAGTCCCAGGTACTTGGGAGGTTGAGGCAGAAGGATTGCCTGAGCCCAGGAGGTCAAAGTTGGGGTGAGCCGTGATCATGCCACTGACCTCCAGTCTGGGCAGCAGAGTGAGATGCTGACTCAAAAAACAAAAAATTGGTTCAAATGAGGTTTTTAATGTGTATGAAATAATGACTACTTAGAAGATTATTGATAAGTTAAAAATTAAACTAAGTTTACTTAAATGTGTGGGCATATTAAGGTAGGCATAAGCAGAGTAACGATCCACTGTTAAGCAAAAAAAAAGAAAGAAAGAAAATGGTAAAAAAAAAAAAAAAAAAATAAGAGAAGCCACACTATGCTTTGATTAGCACTCAGGGGTCCTCAACATAATGGGGTCCCAGCTTACAATTTAGTCTTGTGCTGTAAACAAGTGTGTGAGCCCACTAGAGACTTCTTTACATAAAGACCTGAGGCATCCTGGGAGAAAAACTCATTCTGAAGGAAGATGAAATAAAAAGTTTGACCCAAAATCTGAGCCCTATACAGTTGAGAAGGGGAGGAGTGACTGAGTATGGCGGCGATCATTCTAACTCATCTTGTCCCAGGGACTCATAAGTGGATCCTAAGAAGAGAGAGGTCTATAAGTAAAAAGTGAGACAGGCTTATTTCTGTCATCCCAGCTACAAAGGAGACTGAGGTAGGAGGACCGCTTGAGCTCAGGAGTTCAAGGCTGCATACCAGCCTGGGCAACAGAGTGAAACCCTGCCTCTAAAGAAAATTTTTCTTTTTAAAGTAAAAACTGAGAAATGTTTCACCAATATTTCTATAAAATATTGAGGCACTGGCTTCTCTGCTTTGTATAAGATGTTATATTCTAATGAAGAAAGAAGTTGTCTGAGACAAGTTTTTAAAATATATTTTTCATTTTTATGAATTAAAAAAAATCTCCCTGATCAATTTCAAGTGTCTTATTCCATTATTGTACTGCCAACCCTCTTTTAAAATTTCTCTAAACATTTAATTTAATTTTTTTTTATTTTTAACATATTTTTTATTTTAAAATTGTGGGGTACAGTTAAGGGTTAGGTATACAAATATGCATCATTCAGGCAACCATGTTGATAAGGGGTGTCCCTTTGTCTCCAGACAGATACTGACTACCATTAATCCCACCTCCCTTCCCCTCCCTGCCCCTCCCCACAGTTTCCCGCCACTGTCAATCCTTTTCTTATGTTATTACGATAGATGTTCAAGGTCCACTTATGAGTGAGAACATGTGATACTCAGATCTCTGTTTCTGTGAGAGGTCACTCAGTATTATAAACTCTAGTTCTAACCAGGTTGCTGCAAAATTCATGATTTTGTTCTTTTTTACGGCTGTGTAGTATTCCACCGTGTATATGTACCACATTTTTAAAATCCAGTCCTCTTTCGATGGACAGTATGGTTGGTTCCAGATTCTTGCTATTGTGAACAATGCTGAGATAAACATACATGTGCAGGTATCTTTTTTATAGACTGATTTGAGTTCTTCAGGGTATATTCCCAGGAGGGGGATTGCCAGGTCATATGGGAGGTCGATATTTAGAGCTTTTAGGAATCACCACGCTGCTTTCCACAGAGGTTGCACTAGTTTACACTCCCACCAACAGTGTAGAAGTGTTGTTCTCTTTTCACCACATCCTCCCAGCATCTGTTATTTTTTGTTATTGATAATGGCCATTCTGACTGGAGTTAGGTGGTATCTCAGTGTAATTTTAATTTGCATCTCCTTGATGATTAGTGAGGTTGAACATTTCTTCATGTGTCTGTTGGCTGCTCATATGTCTTCTTTTGGGAAGTGTCTGTTCATATCTTTTGCTCACTTTGTAACAGGGTTGTTTGTTTTTTTTCTTTTCAGCACATCTGAGTTCCTTGTAGATCCAAGATGTTAGGCCTTTGTCAGACATGGAGTTGGCAAATACTTTTTCCCAGTCTGTGGGCTGTCTCCCTGCTCTCTTGATGGTTCCTTTGGCTTTGCAGAAGCTTGTCAGTTTAATGAGGTCCCACTTGTCTATCTTGTCTCTTATGGCCCATGCATTTCAGGTTTTGATCAGGAATTAGATGCCCGTTCCAATTTCCATAAGGGTGTGTCCTGCATTTTCTAAGGTTCTTATGGTTTGAGGTTTTACATTTAGGTTTCTGATCCATTTAGAGTTAATTTTTGTGTATGGTGATAGGTAGGGGTCCTGTTCCAATCTTCTGCATGTGGTCAGCCAGTTTTCCCAGCACATTTACTGAATAGGTTTTCCTCTCTCCAGTGGTAGGTGGTAGAGGCTTTGTTGAAGATGAGTTGGTTGAGAAATTGAAGTTTTGCTTCTGGAATCTCAATTCTATTCCATTGGTCTATATACCTGTTCCTGTACCAATACCAAGCTGTTTTGATTATTGTAGCTTTATAGTAAAGTTTAGAGTCTGGTAATGTGATACCTCCTGCTTTCTTTAAACATTTTAAACATTCTTATTTTTAAATTCTGTATCTGATAATTTTAGAAATCACAGTCTTTGCTGACTCTTGTTCAAAATGGCTATTTAATCACAAATTTAGAATTCTGATTTTAAGTCACATTTCTTAGAATTTTAACTGTGGAAGTTCTTCAAAGCCAGTGTTTAAAAAGCACTTTTTTTTTCTTTTCCAGAGAAGATTTCTATTTGTTTTTGCTAGATTCCTGGGATACCTCAAACCCAAAGCACCGTTAAACTAAACTTTTAGGTTGAGATTTTTTGGGGCAAAGTGAATTCCAACTCCAAACCTACATGAGCCTGGGATTGTGATGAGGATTTTTCAGGAAAGATTCTTTTTGTTTTCTCCAGTCAAAGCCAAGGATGAGACAGGCAGTGGCATTCTGAAGAGCAGGTTATTTTCCTAAATTTTCCACAGGAGAGATTTCAACCTTTGGGGTTCCCAGCAGTGTCCAAATGTATTACTCTAAATGACAAGACTCAGACTACTTCTTCCATTTCATGCAAATAGGACTGCTTTGGACCCCAGGACCATGAAAGACCAGAAGGTACCCACAAGGGTCAAAGGGGCTCGAGGGCTCTTTTATTGGATTTTCTCATTGTTTACAGCCTCATATTTTCTTCTTATTTTGCTGCTAACTCAGCCAAACTTTAAAAAACATTTTTAAATTAAAAAACTTTAAAAGTGGGGACCAAAGGGAGGCCTGAACTTTACCTGTATGATGTCCACTTGTATACCTAAACCTGAATTGTACCCCACATCTTTAAAATAATAATAATAATAAATTAACTGATAGCTTGAAAAATTTTTTTTGACATTTTATCCAGCACTTTTTCAATGTGTTGTTTACCAGCAGAAATTTATCTGAACATCTAATCTGCCGTATTGCTCAAAACAACATACTGAAAATAGCTTTAGAAATATTTTAGGGATACTAACTACTCTAGACAAACCCATTTTATTTGTACACACAGAATATTTGCGCTTCAAAAAGGAAAAAGGGTTAATATCTTTCCATTCCAATTACAGTTCTCAAAGGTACTCACACTGTAAAGTTTGTTCTTCATTCGCAGTAAGTGACTATTATCTGGTTAGTCATGAACTAAAGAGAGAGTTCACTAGCAGAATTCCGATAATAGAGTATATGGTAAACAATCTGTATACGGAAAATAAAAAAAGTATCAGAACTCAATCATATCTTAAAGTACACTATACATTCAATTTTTAAAACTTGGCAATGACTTTATGGGAATAACCAGAACAAATATTAAATTCTGAAGCAGGTTACATATATATTTCTGAACCAGAAATTCAGATGCAGTTTAGTATTACATTTCAATGACGATCATGTGTAATGTATTAATAGTCACAGCAAATCTTACATTTGGTATACTGATCTTGTGACATTCAAATTGATCTATTAATATAATTTATAAATAACTTTTAAAATATCCTTTGTAAAATAAAAAAAATTATCATTTTGCAGCCATCATAGTAAATACTGATTTAGACAAGAAGCATCAATAGATGCTCAATACATAGGGGTAAGTTTTGATGAGAAGTGGAATATTCACATGGTCCTAAAATGTCTCCCCTATAGATTGCTTATAAGATGCAAGGATAACACAGTAACTATACAGGAAAAACTCAACTTTTTGATAGGATGATCGAAATTAACATCACTAATGAGAGGTAAAACCCTGAGAATGAAACAGTATCACACAGTATTTTGGGCAGGGATGCATAACCTAAATGTCAACAGAAGGAAATATTGCATAAGCACCCCCCCTTTTTTTTTTAAGGAGAGAGGCTGTTTTCTTCAAAAATGTCAATGTCAGAAAAGACAATCACACTTCTGGGTATATATTCAGAAAAACTGAAAGCAGGGTCTTGAAGAGATACTTGTACACCCATGTTCATAGTCACACTATTCATAATAGCCAAAAGGTAGAAGCAGCCCAAATGCCCACTGATAAACAAACGTGGCAGAATACAAGCAGTGGAAGATGAGTCAGCCTTAAAAAGTAAATTCTGACCATTACAAAATTGATGAATATTGAAGATACTAGGCTAAGTGAAATAGACCAATCACACAAAGACAAATACTACATCATTCCATTTCTACAAGTATCCAGGGTAGCCAAACTCCTAGAACAGAGGTGGAATGGCAGCTACAGAGGAGTGAGTGGGGAATACACAGCTTCGGTTTTCCATATGAAAAAGTTCTGGAGATCGGTTGCATAACAATGTTGTAGAGGAGACAAACACTAAAAACAATGCACGTTTCACTGAGATCAGTTCCATAGCAAAAGTACACAGAGTGTCATGGGAGCACAAAGGAGATTAATGCTCCTTGATTGATGGAGAGAGAAGGACAGAAATAATTTGGAATTGCGAACAGTTTTCAAAGAGTTTAGGTAAATATGTCAGAGTGACCACTAACATTTTCTTCCTCTTGGAAACATACTAACATCACATTAAAACAGTTTGTAAAGGAAGATATCAACCTGTACATACAAACCAAGAGAAGTTACCACAACAAAACTCTGGAAAATGGGGCTGGGTGTGGTGGCTCACTCCTATAATTCCAGCACTTGGGAGGCTGAGGTGAAAGGAGTGTCTGAGCCCAGGTGTGGAAGACCAACCTGGGCAACATGGCGAGACCTCATCTTTATAATAAATAAAAAAATTAGCCAGGTATGGTGGTGCATGCTTGTAATCACAGCTACTTGAGAGGCTGAGGCAGAAGAATCATCTGAGCTCAGCAAGTTGAGGCTGCGGTAGCTGTGATCATACCATTGCACTCCAACCTGAGCAACAGAAAATGGAAAACACATGAATGAGTAGAAGCAGGCTCAGTTAACACAGAAAGGCAGACTCTTAACCCCAGTAAAAGAAAGTTACTTTTAAATTTACCCTGTAGAATTCCCAAATGGTTCAGAAATTAGTCACATCTCTGTACACAGTAGTTAATATAGGACTGAAAACTAGAGAACAGATTGAAGGTTTAATTTAGAGATAAACTACATGTTCAACTCTCCTTTGCCTTTCTATGCAGCCAGAAGAGTGCTTTGCCTTTATCTGGGAATATCAGAAGTTTTGTTTTGTTTCTCTGAGGAGGAAATTATAGAGCACCTCTGGATTGAGAAGCATGAGATTGGAAGCAGGAAGATTCAGTTTCCAGAATGTTGGTAATCTGTATTATTTTATTTAAGTGAAGGTAAAAACGCCCTTATCTAGGGAATATGGATAGCTCAAGTTACCAAAGACACTGAAGAGGATGCAATGGATTGGATGAACTAGGAGTTTCCAATCAGTGTTTCCAATCAGCCCCACTCTTACATATAATTTGCTTAACCAAGGCTCACCAGGTATTAGGCAAGAAATGAAAGACAGGGACCAAAACAAACAATAAGGGGTTCAGCAGGAACACAATGTTTAGAAACACATGAGTGAAGACAGAAGGTATAATTATTGAGGATGATAGACCCTAGTGAATCTGACTAGAACACAGTGAACAAATGTTGGCAGTGAGAGACAAGCTGAAAGGTACAGAAGGACCAAACAAAGGACGCTGTATCTCACACCGAGGAGTTTGTAGTTCATCTACCTGATCAGGCGCAGTAGCTAATGAAGGATGTAGAAGGGAATGACATGGTCAGGGCTGAGTTCTGACAAGTGTATTCAGGTGGCACTGGGGTGGATAGACTGAAAGGGGAAGAAATTATGGGCAGAACGACCAAGACTTAGGGACCTACTACAAATGGGAAATGGGGAGAAGAGAGACTCAAAAACACTCTTCCAAGTTTTTATGTGGGCAAGTAGATAAGATGGTAGTGGATTAGTGGAAATACAGAATACAAAAGGAGCTACAAGTCTGAGGAAAATAATGGATTCTGTTTTATACATGTCAAATTTGAGGTCCTTCCAGACACAGAACTGCCCAGCAAATAGCCTGAAGTAAGAATCTGGAGGTTAGGTCGGCAGGCAAGGCTGTCTCTAGAGAGACAGATTTGGTTGTCTATTAGGTTAGTCAAGGAGAGCATAAGGAAGAGCAGTTTGCAGTGCGCACACAAAAGAAATGGCTGAGATTCACTGGTGTTGTCTATTAGAGAACCAGTGTTACCTACCCATTGTGGTACCCTCTGATGTGTCATGACAAAATTTTAAACAGTTAAGAATCACAGATTTGGGAGACAAAAGGGTTGAGCTCAGAGTGCTAAAGACCACTAACATTTAGGAAGCAAATAAAGAAAGAAAAACCCTCAAAGAAGATCAAAGAGGGATGATCAAGAAGTGGGGAAAACACAGGAGAAAGAGGTAACAAAGAAGTCAGAGTGAGAACAAGCAATGATCTACCATCTAGTCTAACACGCTACCCCAGAAGCATGAAGCGCCCAGGGCATGGCTGATCTCTGAGTCTGCAATATCCTTGATATCAAAACATGAGACAATGAGGGGGTGAAAGAACACAGGGGCAGTGGGGGTCAGACAGCATACCCAGTAAAGCTGGCTTGCTTATCTCATAACTACTAATAAATTCTTATTGAGCAGTCTCCAAACTCATTGTTTTAAGTCTGCTGATAAGAAATATATTATTATTATATTTATTATATTATTGTATATATTTACATGAGTAAATCAGCCAGTTTTTTAAAGAGCACAATGTAATACCAATCTTTTACAACTGTTAAATAAGTTCTAAGATAGCATCTAATTGTTCATGTGTACAGTTCATTCAACTCAACACATATCATAAGAGCTACCTGATTTTCAAGCAAACTCACCAAGTGCTAAATTTAAAATAACTAGGCTTATGATCATTCTATCTAAAAATTAGATTTCTCATTACTGAACTTACTTGAATCCATTAATTTAGAACTTATAATGCCTAAGATCACTTAAATGATTAGACTCCCCAAAATCTTTACCAAGATTTAGTTTATCTTAACTATCCAGTCCATGAGAAAATGTTCCTGCTTTAATATAATGTGAATAAGGAAAAATATAAAATTGTATAATTATAACCTATTTTTTTTTTTTGAGTTGGAGTCTCACTCTGTCGCCCAGACTGGAGTGCAGTGGCCGCTTCCAGCCACTGCAGCCTCGACCTGCTGGGCTCTGACGATCCTTCCGCCTCAGCCTTCCAAGTAGCCGGAATTACAGGTGCGCGCTACCACGCCCGGCTGATTTTTTGATTTATTGTAGAGATGAGGTCTCGCTGCCCAGGCGGGTCTCGAACCCGCGGGCTCAGGCAATCCACTCACCTCAGCCTCCCAAAGGCGCGGGATTACAGGTTGAGCCACGAGCCTGGCTTATAACCTATTTTTTAAAAGCATAAAGCTAGGCATAGATACAAGACAAAGTAATATATTAAAAATGTTAATAGATAACACATTTTCATGTTCTTATTTCTACTTCCTTAAACATTCTCTGCAATGATCACATATTACTCTTACAATGATAAAAAAAAGTCTACTAAAATAGTTTCTTCTTAACTAGATTTCCAAAGAGGTAGAAGACAGCTGGAGATGCAGACTATCAATTATTTAGACAAATATCTGTTGGAAGCACTTACATATTTTCATTTGTAAGGGTCTCATGCCCCCTATCTCAACATAAACTCAAGGAGGGCAACTGTGTTTATTTTTTCTGTAAGTTCCCACAGTCTAAACTCCTATGCTCTGCAAAAAGGCATTGTATCCTCGGGGCCTAATAAAAAAACAATTTGTAAAATGAGTCCCCTGAAACTAATTTGTTAGGTAAACAACTTTTCCTTTCTTCCCTCTGCAAATGTTTGTTATGGTTTAACCCCACAAGTCAGCCAATACTGTCCTAACTTTTAAAAATACCACATATTGTGTCTTGGTGTGTACTTTTGCTTACCATGTTTTAATTTAATATCATTTTAAGTAAATTATAACTCTTAGGATTTGAAAATATTACTGGTAATATTTTTTCAGAAAGTTTCAGCTTTTAAGAAATAAGTGATTTTGAAAGGGTTTCAACATTTTTATAGTGTTTATATTTATCATAAGGATAAAAAGTATAACTGTACTTTTTTGGTTGTTTTTTTTAGTTATAGGGTGTCACTCTGTCACCTAAGCTGGAGTATGGTAT